GTAGTTATATCTTTCGTACGTTGAAAGACATTTTGACCAATTATTTTTCATTTCGTACGGACTCATTAGAACTACTATTTTGCGAAAACAAAATTCAAATTTGAGGCAATAGATTTTAAGGGGTGGGGCTCGAAAGTGGGGGGGGGGGGGGGGGNGGGGGAGGTCAAATCTTGTCCACTAGATAACTCGAGCGAAAATGAATATTTTGAGCTAAGATTTTTATGGGTGGTAGTTCTTCCCTAGGACTGGTTTGGTATTATTAATGTTTAAAACAATATCGATTTGTTTCAACACCTGTTTTCATTAAATTATGCATCAAACGATAGGAGAGGGGGAGGGGGAGTCTAAAAATCGGCAAAATTGCCTTACATTATTTATGGACGGCCCCAAAGAGTAATTTCGATAATTCCTATTAGTATTTTTTTGTAGTCCTTATGGTTGTTTTACTTCGAATTCCGTACTCTATGAATAAAATAAGAGCAATTGTGCAGATTTTCCTTTTATACAGGGTGGTCCGGACCTACCGTACCAGGCCTTTTTTTCGGTTCATCTGAGTCGGACGAAGTTCAGGATCGCGGAGACGAATAGGGAATCGACCCCAAGGAATCCGAATTATTCATAGTCCTAGAGCCCTCCTGGCGTCTATTGGGGAGTAAAAGGGGGGTCCGTACTTCAAAAGCTACGATTTATGTCAAAATTTTGAAATTATTGCATCAAAATCAGGACGTACGGAAATTTTCAACTTAAATCGACACCAAAAAATCCAAAATCAGTCCATCCCTGTCCACAATAGCTACCCCTAAAGGTGGGGGACAGAGCTCCCTTTCAAAAAAATTCAAGTTCGTTAAATTGACGTGGAAAAAATGTGGATTCATGGGTAATCGACCCCAAGGACTCCAAATTTGAGGGTCCCGTTATACTCAGAGACTTTTCTGATGGGGCACAGAGGTAACCTCCACACCGGTTAAATTTTAAAGTTCTGAGACCCCCTGTGCCCCATCAGAAAAGTCTCTGCGGACAACGGGACTCTCAAATTTGGATTCTTTGGGGTCTATTACCTATGAATCCATATTTTTTCGGAGTCTCTACGCCAATTTAACGAACTTGAATTTTTTTGAAAGGAGGCTCTGTTCCCCACCTTTAGGGGTCGGGATTGTGGGCAGGGATGGGCCGATTTTGGATTTATTGGTGTCGATTTAAGTTAAAAATTTCCGTACGTTCTGATTTTGATGAAATACATAGGGTGTTCAAGAAGTTTTGCACACTTCCGGGTTTTGAGCGAACAAAAACAGCTATTGATTTGCGGTTTAAGTGTGCTTAAAGTAGACGCAATTACCAATAAAACACGACCAAGAACAACTCTCTAGCTTAAAAAATGACAGAGATACAGGGTTTTGAAAATGACTTGTAGCATGACCCCCTCCAGGATTTTTAGCAACAAATATGCTTGTCAAGAAAAAAAAGTTAAATGAGAATTGAGTGTTTTTATTGAAAAAAATTACAAAATCTTACGGAAATTGACAAATTCCAAGCTTCTACATCGGATGACACGGCGGACTATACATTCAGCTGATTTTCAAAGTATTTTCCACCACTTTGAACACAAAGCTCCAGCAGTTCTGCCCATTTCACAAAGATCGTCTTTTCGAAGTCTTCTTGGGGGAACGTTTTGAAGAATTTTTGAAAAGCGGTTTTGATTTCGGCTATGGAATGGCTCTTTCTAGAGTTAAAGACATTTCTGAGAGGCACACGGTTTGATTCCATAGCCGAGATCCAAACTGCTCTTCAAAAATTCTTCAAAACGTTCCGCCAAGAAGACTTCGAAAAGACGATCTTTGTGAAATGGGCAGAACTGCTGGAGCTTTGTGTTCAAAGTGGTGGAAAATACTTTGAAAACAGCCGAATGTATAGTCCGCCGTGTTATCCGATGTAGAAGCTTGGAATTTGTCAATTTCCGTAAGATTTTGTAATTTTTTTCAATAAAAACACTCAATTCTCATTTAACTTTTTTTTCTTGACATACATATTTGGTGCTAAAAATCCTGGAGGGGGTCACGCTACAAGTTGCCTTCCTTGGTAGCTTTAAATCGGAAAACCTCTCAAGACGCCTTTGATTTGTTTCCAGCCTTATCTCAAGCTTGCTCACGGCTGTTGCCATTCCCAACCCTTTTTTGAAGCGTGGTGCTAAAAAAACGACCCTTTGCGGCTCGCGCCCTTTTATGCTGTTTTCTTCGTGCTGTGCTTTGCTCTGTAATGTCGAGATTATTTTTCCTGAGTTGGCGGAAATCGTTGCTTTACATATGTCTACGACGCAACGCTATGTTAGACCAGACTTGAGGGCCCTCCCTCTCTTAATACACGATCATAGAGTTCCCCCTGTTGCTCTCAATAAGTTCGAAATTCATGGTATTATATTTTATAACTTAAATTCCTTAATAAAATTTAAAAGCTTCTACCGACCATTGTTTTTCAACCAAGGAGGGATATGAGCTCGAATGAGTTTGAATTTATATCTCGACTCTGCTATCTTCGCTGAAACTGTCGTGAGCCAAAACGTCCCATTCTATCGTGCGAATATGGGCCTTCTCACTCGCAGAGCAAAATTTCGCCCGAGTCAAAAACGCCCGTTTTTCCGGTCTTTTCAACACTGGGCGAGCCGAGAAGGGCTGCGGCCTCAGGTCCGAACCAAAGGTAGACCTGCCGCCGCAGAGCCGCCATGCCGCCAAGTCAAGGGTAGAATTGCCGCCGTCGCCGGCCACTGACCAGAGGGTTGGATTTTCTCAGGCAGGCGGCTTGCGCTTGCCGCGTCGTCGCCGCGAGGGTTTTCCCCTGGACCTCGAAACCGAACACTGTGAGACTGAGAAAGCCGCCGTGTTTGGCCCAACCCTCTCCGCGATCCGCGACGCGCCTTCGCACCAGCAGCCCCGTCACGTCGTCGCCGGTCGCTCGACTCATGGTTACATAAACAAAGGCGAGTCGGGCACCGTTCCTGTCCAAAGCGCAGCGCCGCTCCTCGGACAGCGTAAAATCCAAAGGCACTACCCAGGAGCACAAAATAATATTTTCACAATTTTTTTGAAATTACCGCACGGGTGTCTACAAGAACCGTTCCCGCTTGTGCTACCCTTGAAAATCGAAAAATTGGCTGTGAGAGGTTGATCCGAAAAAATTTTAGCCTAGCTCATCAACATTCGTCGAGGAGGCAGTGAGCACAATCGTAATAAGAGGAGAATAGAAGAGAGAGTACTCAGTACTCTCAACGAAGGAAACTTCCCTCGGATTGGGTCATTTTTATTTTTTTTCCTTAGTGACGTGACGTGAAAGAGGCCTGGTCCAGAGGGTCTGCAGTCTGCACTCCCCTCCTCCTTGAAGGAAAATTTCTCCAAAGAAACATAATTCTGCGTTATTATTTGGAAATCACCCCACCCCATGCAAAATATATGGCTAACGTGTTAAGTGCTTCATAAAGCGCACCCTCGGCCAACAGGTGCAACTCTTGGATAAGTTATTAAATTGATTTAACTTTTTCTTCAGTAGATTCGATCAATTGAACCGATTTTCACTAAATAATAACAGTAACGTAAAAAAACGGAAAATGTTGAGGATTCTCATGTTGCACATTTCTATCGTAAAATCAATGCTGTGGTGACTTGATAAGCGGGAAAGTTCCCACGCAAATGCCTCACTAAAGAGTCGCATTCGGTAATTATCGATGCGATCATTGAGTTCGGCGTGAAATTTAAAAGTTTTAACAAGAGAGCCATTACATTTCATTCGAAGCCGAAAATACATGTATAAGTCTGGGCAGTCAAATTAGACGCCGTAAAAATTAGAACATTTTTGGGCAAACATAGAATCAACGTCTAAATCTCGGCGAGGAGCTCCTGGATCCAGGCCTGGCTCACCGTGGCATTCTCCTCATTGTGTCGATACCGGGTCTTTACCTGTCAACGGTCCTCAAGTCTATTGGGAGCCCAAAATTTGCGGACCAATTTTTTTAACGTTTGTAAATTTTCCTTTTATTTCGACGGATTCAGATTCAGCTTGCAATCCTGATGAAAAATATGTATAGTTAAAAGTAAGTATAACTATAAGTTATTGAATTACAAAACTCGCGAATTTCTTCCGCGCTTCTAAAATGCTTCTCATTGCATTTTTTTTTATTTCTGGATCGCGAACTTACCAATATATCTACTCAAAAGTATACATATTTTTCATCAGGATTGCAAGCTGAATCCGAATCCGTCGAAATAAACGGACAATTTTCAAATATTAAAAAAATTGGTTCGCAAATTATTCGCCACCAGTAGATCATCAAGGGTCACGCCGCCAGGTAAAAACCCGGCGCGGATACAATGGAAAGGTATCCTCGACCCGTCGGTGGATTCGGACACACTCCAGAGGCACCACGGACGCACCTCGAGTGCACCCCGAGTGCACTCGAAGCGCACCCACTCTCACACTACACACTTAGTGCGTTCGGAGTGCACTCGGAGTGCACTCCGAACGCACTAAGGGCATTTTATTTTTACTAGGGCTTGGTCGACCTTGCCCTAAGGTTGGAAGAAGGAGCAGTACTGTCCTTGAGACAGCATGATTGGTGCAAGGCTGAAATTTTCAAGATTGGTTCTTCTACCTTGACACAAGCCTAAAAAACGAAGCTCTGTCCATCCTTTTTAATCCATGGTTGGCGCATTATTGGTATATCATGATTAATGGGCCAAGTTTTTGTCAATCTTGGCACAAGGTTGGAAAAAGGAGCTCCTCGTGCCCTTGAGAATCCGAGTTTGGACCATGGTTGAAATACCAAGCAGGTTAAAAAACAAACCCCGCTCAAATGTCGATGCAAGGTTGTACAGCCAAGCTTGTAATTCCATACTCATTCCAATTTTGTCAAAGCTTTGATCCAAGCTTGTGCCAATGTCTCCAAGGTCCTTTTGCCAATAGGGACTTTGAGAATGAAGCTAAAAATATTTGAGTTCTTTCCTGTGTGATTCCAGTCGCTGAGGAAGAACGAAAGGTCCGTATAATTGAAGAGGATGTTTCCATGAAGCAACGATGCTGTGAGGAGGATTTGGATCGGGCTGAACCTGCTCTTGTTGCTGCACAGGCTGCCTTGGATACACTAAATAAAGTTTGTGATTTTCTTTGAGTCCTAAAGCAAAGGCTGCGTTTCATTTTTACACTTAACTTACAGTCTTTCAAAATTTTAACTCATATTTGCACTTATGACTTAAGTTTTTTCACAATTAGATTGTAGTGCAGAAACCTAAGATCTTTAAAAGAAAATGATTTTGCCTAATTGTTGAATGTGGCTCTCCTTTCTTTGTGTTACCTTCGCTTCATTATTTCTACGTCAATTATTTAATACGCATCGCCATAGAAGTCAGCTTACCTCGAATTATTTTTGTTACAGAATAATTTGACAGAACTGAAGTCATTCGGTAGTCCACCTCCGGCAGTAGCAAATGTTACCGCTGCTGTCATGGTCTTATTTGCTGCCAAAGGAAAAATTCCAAAAGATCGTAGCTGGAAAGCTTGCAAGGTATTCATTTAGTTTCAGCAGTAGATGGTAGTACCGTCGAGGTATTCGAGGACATATATGTAACAATAGCGGCCGCCAACATCCGCCATTTTTAGGGAAAACGCTCTTTTCAAATTCTGGTGCCTTTAAGAATGCCTGTGCAAAGTTTCAGACTTCCAGCGTAATTTTTCGGCGAGATATGAACTGGAAACCATGTTATTTGTAAAAACAGCGGATGTGAATATCCACTGTTCTCCCGGGCCGCCGGGGTAGGAAACCCTTCATATTCGAACGCACATGCGATAACTGCCCGCGCCCATGGCCGTGGCCTGCAGGCTGCAGCCCATGGCACTGTGGGCCAGAGGTGCCGGTTGCGGGAGAATAATTGATATCTCGGCTAAATCCGAACGAAAATCACTAAGTTTTGGTTTACGGGGGTTTTTTGGGTCACTGAACTCGAATTTGATATCAGTTTTGTTCAAAAATCACAAGAAACGTATGTCGTGAGGATTTAAGCTAGTCCAGTGATGATTCCTTTTTTCGAGCAATTGCACTGGGATTAGAAACCATTTTAACGCTTGAGAAACTTTCAAAAACAAAATTGAGAACTTGAAAGTGACCAAGAGGAGTCTGGAAAATGATCTAATATTGTTAAAACTAGAAGAATAAAAGACGAGAATGTTCACAGAGGAACGCTTTATATGTTCATTATTTTTTATTTATTATTATTATTTTTTTTGTCACTGCCTCCANATCAATACAGTACTGGACACTCGTAAAAACGGTATTTTTCGCGTAAAACGGGCCCCCCTGGCCCACTGTGCATGGCCTGCAGCTGACACTCAAATGATACGTATCGGGACCGTTTTGCCAGAATCGATGAGATTTTAACTGATTATATAATTTGTTCCTTATTTTTTATGCAGAAGTTACAGACGGTTTTGTTTTTTGTTCTATTCGATTAAATGACTCAGCACTGACATACTTTTGGTTCATTTCAGTCGTTTCATCAGCCTTACCCTTACTAAAGACATTGTTTCATGCATAAAACAAGCAGTGAACTCCAACACAATGTGTTGATAAGGCAAGTCATTAACTCGCACATATCAACCCCTTTAGTCTTCATTTACAGAGATTTCAAAATAGGCAAGCAGCACAACAAGATAATTTACGATCCAACATTGCGAGGTCAACAACACACCTGGACGAGACCGTGTATTGTGAATGTAGAAAGCCATTCGAACGAGTTTAAGTTTTTTGATCTGCCTCAAGCCAAATCTTATAAGATTCTCGAAGAAAAGTGCTACGGAATAATTTAAGCGAAGAAAGGAAAAATTCTGTCGAACTCCTGAAAGATAAAGTCGATTTAAAGGTATCTTGGGGCTAAAATACCCAAATCACAGTTAGTATAAATCCCGTTATATTATTGAAATGAAATCAAATTTTGCATTAAATATGTCTTGATTTTGTTATTTTAAACGTCTTTCTATGCAAAGAAGTTCAACCATGTCTATGCTTTATTCATTCATGAATCGAAAGTAAGGAATCTACATCCCAAAAATCTACCGATTTGCCGTTTATAATCGCAGAAACTTGATATACCAGGTCTATGTACCCACTCTTTGAATTTACGAGTCAATATCGTGAGTGCACATATGTAAAAGCCAATATGCTATAGTCATTTTGGGTGCATTTATTTTTCATGAAACAATAATAAGTAATTTCAATCCCTAAAAACCATCAATAATCCGTATAAAATCGAAAAAATCGAAGTGAGTCAACTCTCTGACGTGAAAATTAGATTCTACGTGTAACAATACTTATGTTTCGGTATGCTGAGCACAAACCATGTGTGGACACAGTTAGCAGTCCGCGGCAACATCAATTCAACAGAATAATGGCAAAAATTAGATCAGATTCTAGCCGCTTTGCCTGTCTCTCCTCGTTATTTACAAACCGTTCCTATGTACATCTCAACATTTTTCTCAGAGCTTTGTGTTATTATCAGCTTCCATTTAAATCCCGGCTTGATGACCAAATCAACTGCTCAAAAAGCAAGCCATTTTTGAAAGGTTCTATGAGAAATTCGTGATATTATCGGCTCTCAGGAAATCACCCCGTGGCTAAAATTGGGGGTATAAATGTTTGAGTGCTTAAAATAATCATACTCAAGAAACTAAAGGCATTAAACTATGGAGTCAATTTCTTTTTAATAATACAGGGTGTACCAAAAGTCCGTCCCACCCCTGCTAACTTTTGAACGAATTGAGCTAGGGTAATGAAACTTTAGAAATGTTCCTATCTCAAAGGGGACCATCTTTTGGGGGGGTCAAAATTTTGGTTCCCCTTCAGGGGGGGCGCGGGGGGCCCCCAACTTTTTTTTTTCAAATGGCAACCCCTATCTTGTGATACATCATTCGAAAGAGCAAGAAAAACTAAGAATTTTGGCGCAAACCGCAGATCAATATCTTAATTTTTGACCGAGTTATGATAGGTCAAAGGTCAAATTTGACCTATTTTCAAAAAATCATAACTCCGNTTTTGACCCCCCCAAAAGATGGTCCCCTTTGAGATAGGAACATTCCTAAAGTTTCATTACCCTAGCTCAATTCGTTCAAAAGTTAGCAGGGGTGGGACGGACTTTTGGTACACCCTGTATAACGGGATTTACTAACCGTGATTTAGCTATTATATCCCCAGAATACTTTTAAAGCGCCTTTACTTTCCAGAATCTTGACAGAATTTTTTTTTTGGCTGAAACGATTTAAGAGACACTGTAGTTAAAAAATATGAAGAATTTTCTTTTTTGACCAAAAAAAAAAAAAAAAAGGTTCGTTCAGGCACACCGTGTATTGTATGGAGTACTGCTGCCATTCAACTCTTGTCTTCAGGTCAAAATTCTTACAAGGGGGCCCCTTGCAAGAGGCGAATTTTTTGTAATTTCTCCCAAGTTTTTCTCCGTTATATAATGAAATTGCTTGTCAAATTCTGAGGTCAACTTTATCTAATTGTAATTTATACATTCCTTTTTTTCCCCTTCATTTTATTTTTTGTTTGGAGAATTCGAGGTTTTGTTGATTTCTTCAGATTTCGAATACTGAAACTTCTCTTCTATTCGGCCGATTTTTATGAATGAGGCCTCTTTTTCTTCGTGTTTTAACGGAGAGTAAGGAAAAAATTGCTAAATACTCGCGAAGAAATTATTTTGAAAATTTGGTGGATCCCAGCGTGACGGTGAAATGGGTAATCGAGTGAAAGTAATTAGGTCTGACTGCGGCGAGGGTCGCCTTTTGCTCTTCAGCTGGGAAGCGACCGAGCCACGATCGGGACATTGCCTGGGTTTGTGCCTGCCTGTGCACTGTTTTGGCCTGATAGGGGACTGAATTTCTGTATGGTCCACGATTAGCACATGGTCTAATGAGTCTGGAGGCTCATCATAGATTGCACTTACGGCTTGTGGCGAGGAAAAGCGAGAGATCGTACGATCCTGATCGTCAGAAAGCAAGCCTTCCGGAAAGGATCGAGATTCAGCAGATCAAGCCACAAATTTTGGGTGCCAGATGCTCGTCGGGACGCCTGGGTTCGGGCGCCAACACACTCGAAGTGCGTAATCAAAAATAAAATTTTCCTGAGGCGAGGACAGGTGTTGCAGGAAGGAATAATGAGAGCAAATTTGAACGTACTAGAGTCAATTTTTATTGACAAGAAAAGAAACTACATTTGAACACAATTACAAACTTAAAAAATTCTCAAGACAAAAAAAATAAAACTAAATACGAGATCAAAATTAGGACGATTGAAGGTGAATGTTGTTGATCGGATTGACTTTTTAAAATAGGTACTTTGAAAGGAACGGAAAAGGGGACAAAAAGGGTTCGAACTTTCGAATGAATTACTCCTCAATTATTTATTTTACCTTAAATCTCCCAAACAACCGGTGCTACTCACCACGTGCACTCAATCTTGAATGGTAGATTTAGGATACGAAATAAATATTTTCCAAAATAAATTCCAATAACAACCAAAATCCCAGGTGCTACTCAACACGTGCACACTTGGAAATTGATCAATTATGAGAGATTTATTTTTCATGATTAAATTAAATTAAATATAATTAAATTAGATGTGCTTCCGAATAAGAATAAAATTCGTTTAAATAAATTTCAACAAGAGATTACTAAGTAAAAAATCCATGCTCATGCATTTATTTACCATAGGAGCTACCCAGAAATGGGTGCGTCACACAAGAGATAAATGCGATGAGAAACCAAGCCCTCACTTGCAAGCGTGCTACTCACCACGTGCACAGCTACGCAAATGAAGGGATCCGAAAAATCGGACAAGCGCTGCGAGGTACCGGTCGGGACCCCATCAAATTCATTTCATCTACCTTCCGCATGCATCGACCAACTTCATTCGACTTCAAAAAGTTAAATATACAATCAAATAAATTCACTCTTACATCAAATGATTTGCCTAAATTAGCTTTGCGACTTTCTTGAGTAAATTTGCTGAAACCAATTAACTAATAAAGCAAAAATAATAAAAAAAACCGACTTTTTTCAGGTGTCTGAACGACCGAGACGTCGTGCACACGCTAAACAGCTGTGTAGTCGGGTCCGGATCGCTCCGCGAGAGCGCTCGAGTGGCGCGCGGCGGCCGACCGGTGTACTACGGTATTCCGCTACTTCACCGTCCCTACAGAGTGCGCTACTGTCGCCATCACCTGCTACCGTTGTAGTCATCGAAATTTTTACATATGATTAAATACTTATTCGAACTTAAGTGACGGGAAAAATTACCGTCACACGGCTGTCCTGGCTATCAGAGCAGTGGTACCAAATTTTGAAAAGCATAACAGGGGTGTAGATATCTGTCAATACAACGTTTTAAACAAAACGGAGCAGTGAAATTCTCATTCGAAGAGTGCTAAACTGCTCAGTAATCCTCGAATCAGTTCGTTTGCTTCTGCTTGTATATGCATATTTTAAATTAGCGCGAAGCATTCTAAGGTTTTTTTTAAAAAAACCAAGTAACGTAGATTGGTATGACGCGACCGTATGACTGGTGGACGTGGTATTCATTACACATAAACTGGAAAGCCCCAGAATGACAAAAACTTTAAATCATAATTATTGACGGATTAGTAAACTTTTTACACGCTTTGGAAAATCTCAGAAGTTCGTGGCAGTCACTTTCCGGTAAGGAACTAAGGGACTCGGTTATTGTATCGAGTGGAGGGTCAAAACCATCGCAAAGGCGGTATACTACGTTTACGCGCCAAAAATGTTTTCAGTAAAAATAGCGGATGTCACATTTTTTTTCAAATCACTGTTACTCCTTTAATTTATCACTTACATAGATCGTAAATCGTGTGTTTTTTGTAGGAAAAGTTGCCTTCATTAAAATCTTTATAAGAATCCTCTCGTTTCTACGAGCGGCAAAGTGCAAAGCTTCGAAAACTTCAAACGCAATTTTCTCACAATGAGAAAACTCGACATCCGCTATTGTTACAGATAAGTCCTCATTGATAAAGTACCTAATGCTTTATAGAATGAGAGAGATCGAGGAGAGCGTTAGCTACTTCATTTTGTTTTTGCTTGTTAAAAATGGTAAGATACGTCACTCAAGCGATGCGTGGGGAATTTGAGAGTCCAGAATAAAGCGTTAGGTACGTACCTACCGTAGGCCCCTACTTGTTAAATGGAAAACTATACTATGAACATATGTCTTATTGACGGATAAAATATTATTTACATGGATCTACTACGAGATGATTGTATTCGTAAAGAGGTGTTCACATTCTTGAGGCTGCCGGTGCCATTTTATTTTTTTAATGAAATGCTACTTTAGTAAAGACGGGGTGTTTCTTGATACAGGATCAGATTAAATAATACGTGTTACTTGTTCCTTAAAGGATCTTTTGGCCTACCCTGTAAATTTATATGTACACAATTTTTTCTCTTATAGTTAATGATGGCCAAACTCGATGCATTTCTTGATGCACTCCTTCACTATGACAAAGAAAATATTCATCCTGATGTTGTGAAAGGAATTCAACCGTATTTGAAAGACCCAGAATTTGACCCGGATGCTGTACGCTCCAAGTCTACAGCTGCTGCAGGTAAGTTTTTTTTTTTTTTTTTTTTAAGGGGTGTGTTTTCTTGATTGAATTGCAAACGATTACAAAAGTTTTGGCTTCGCATATTTAAATAGAAATTCTACCAGAGATTGATAAAAAACCAAATGCAAGCAAGAATCGCTGCCCCAAAAAAGAAGCAGAAAGTTTTTGTTGAAACGGGGTATTGCGCTGTTGAGTAAGTTTTACTTATTCCCTCTTCGTAAGGAAAGGTCCGGAAAGGTCATCCCTGAATAGGTAAGCTGCACCCGCACTTTTCTGAAGTAGGTAACGGGTCTACGCGTTTAGATTATACAAAGTCCATGCAATTAAGGATCCAACTGTGACCCCTAGCAGGTTCAGTTGGAATTGCGCGGGAAATATTTGAATATGCCCGGCTTGCCGCGCATCGGTCTTCAACACTTATCAGTCCGTAGAATCAACGGGCATCGGCCGCTGGAATCCCCCAGCAACACCAGCCGTTATTCGACCTAGTCCTAAGATATTTTTTTTTTTTTCCACGAAAAAAATAATATGTATACTTTTTTTCGGATTTTTTTTTTCACGAAAAAAAAATATGTATACTTTTTTTTTTTTCGGAATTTTTTTTTAGGGTTACGGAACCCGTTCCATAGAAGATCCTCAATTACATGTCGTATCAATGCTTTTCTATGGCTGGCCGTTTGTGCCTGAAAGGAAAAGAATCCCTGTGAAAGAATTATTTCCCGTGTGGGATTTTTTTTCCCTTCACGAGCGGGCTTTTGTCCCATGTGTGGGAATTTTTTTCCTTGTGTGTGATTTTTTTTCTTGTGTGTGGTGTTTTTTTCTTGTGTGTGATGTTTTTTTTCTTGTGTGTTATTTTCTTTTTTGTGTGTGATTTTTTTTTCTTGTGTTTTTTTTTCTTGTGTGTGATTTTTTTTCTTGTTTGAGATTTTGTGTCTTGCGTGAGAGAATTTTTCGTGTTCTTACTTTCTTCTGCTTAGTCAGATTTCATGCGTTTGCCAAATTTTGCAAATAAAAAAAGAGCCGTGAACTGTGATCGATATCTCTCAAATAATCGATAAATCGACCGGGCTCGATCTGATCGACACCGGAGTTGACGAATACCTTGTCTACAGCGTTGCCGCGTAGAATTGTTAATTTCATAGAACACGGCCAACCATAGTATGACCGTTCCCGTCGCATTCATGCATGCCAACAGGTACATTCCTACAGCCCTCCGGCCCCCCACTCAGGCACGTATACACATATGCGCTCAAAAAGATTCTGAAAATTTTTGAAATTTTAACTCTATTTTGACGCATTTCGGAGCTTCCGCGTCGCAGATTTTCCATCAGATTCTGCATACAAATTACACCTTTTTTTTTTACTTTCACACAAAATACTTTCAAATTACTACATTCTACAACGCTGGAAAATTTTTGGAATGTCTATTCTTTATGAACGCATTTTGAGGCTATTCTGCCAAAAATTTTAGGAATGAACACGGTGTTTTCATTTAGGACTCTACACTAAAAGAGATAAATATATTCGACCGTCTCAGACTTCTTCTTCTCTCGCACTTTCTCATCTTTTGTCTCCCCTTTCCTTCTCTCTTTTCTTCCTTTTTTTTTTTAGGGGTGGGGGGGGGGGG